CGTGGGACACAGCCGGGCGTGACGTTAGCCCGGGCCGCCCGAAGGCCCTTCTCCGAGCGCCGTTTTACTTCTCCTCCTTTCATGATGGATAGGACAGTTTTCGTGAAGTCCTTTTCCTCGTCTGTGGCATAGGGGTACCGATGCCAGTTTGATGCGATTGTTGTGAGGACTGAATGAAGATAGTACAGGTGATGCGCTCTAGCGCAGTGCGTGGCGCGCAGTGTGCGCGGCACATAGAAGCCATCGTTTCTCAGGCTGTCGTCAGCATCACCAGCAGCATCGTGTAATTTGGACTTCTAGAGCCTGAGGGAGGCTTAGATAGAAATCATCCGCTTGAACTCAGCCATTTTACAGGCAGGAACATGAGACTCGAAGATGTCGAGGAAATTGTCCAGGTCACATAGCCGGTTGGTGCCAGAAACAAGACTAGAAGTCAGTTAATGCAATTCAAACTGGGTTTGTTTGGCTATATACCCACTGCCAGTGCGGTGGACGTTTGATCCTTGAGTGCGCAGCGGTAACTAACTCTTCACCACAGGCTCCCGTGAACTTTTCAAGTCCCCTACGGCTTACTGTGCAATTATGTTTTTTATTACTCTGCAAAGTTTGCCTCTCCTTTACTAGATTCCAAAATTTTTTAGGAGAAAACCGAAGTCTGATTCATATCTGTGTAGTCCACAGGACCCTGCACGTGACTGACACTTGATACATATTTGCTGCAAATATTAATCTTGAAATATGAGTTGTGAAATAGCCATTAAAAACAACAAAATTCTCCTACAGCGTTGTTTCCAGGAGGGCGGCCTTCAGGTACAAACTGAGCAGATGTCATTTTTAAAAGGGTAGCCAGTATAATACTTCCTGGATTAAAGTTCCTGACTCTTTTGCAACTTTGTAGCAAATGTCTCTGTGCTTGAAGGCACAAGTACCTTTCTTTGCAGCTGTGGTGTTCCACATTTATTTTAATAACCCCTGACCCCCTCGACTCAGGTATTAAAAGCTATAATTTTATGAATGAATGCATTCATACATGAAACATGCTGCAGAGCTCTCGGTGATCACATGCATGGATAGACATATAATTTCTCATCCAATCTAGACACTTTTGAGAGAGGAAGGCCATGCTATTAGAACTTTGCTGGGACTGTCTTGGTCCGCCTGGGGTGTCTGGTCACACTATTGGTGATATTGGTTGTTAGAGTCATGGCCCAGGATAAGGCAGCTGAGAGTTGCCTCTGCTGAGGAGTGCGCAGCCCAGTCTGCCTAAGGCAACAGGGCCTAGGAGTCATCTAAGGGCATCTGATACTTCATTTCATTTCCTTATTCCCTGCCTACCTTAAGAAATTATTTGAAGTGATTTATAGTAAACAATCCATGCAGTAGAATCATGAATGTAAAACATTAATGCTGAAGTGAGCAGATACAATGCCTGAGATTTCATGTAGTTGAGCAAACTGGGCACTTTCAGTGTGAAGCTAAAAACAGAGAATGCCATTCACAGCATGGATTTTGTGATTTAGGAGCAGAGCTGAGGGTTTCTGCAGTTAGAGGTGGTCACGTGATCATTATTCACTTAGTGAAAAGAACACTGATTGTTTTCCCTTTTTATTCCAATACTATGCCTATTAAATTACCAAGTCAGGTGTCCAGTAGGCAGCTGGGTATATGCGTCTGGAACTCCAGCGTTGGGTCAGGGCTGGAGATACAGATTTGGGAACGACTGGCACATGTAAAGCTTATTTTTGAAGAGGGTGTTTTTAGCAATCTGCTGCAAAACTCTTAGCTCCCACTTCTTTTGAGGAGGGTTTTTCATATGCTTCCCTAGGTCATTCTAAGTCTTTGGTGCCATTTCTTACCAAGTATCTAACTGGAAAACTGAAGTGTGAAGACACTTCTGTGTACTGTGCAGGAGACTGCAGATAATAGTACTCACTTGCATTTGTTGAGTGGTTACTATGTGCCAGATGCTGTTTTGATTGCTTTACCTGTACTGGCTCCTGTAATCTTCACAAGCACACTATGATGTAGTTACTGTTTCCCCGTTTTATAGGTGAGGAAGTTGAGGCACTAAGTGTTTAAGTGATTTTGCCCAATGTTATTGAGTTGGTAAGTGAGGAGGCTGTGATTCATAGGCAGGCAATCTGAAACCAGTCTGTGCACTTAAATTTCTCATAGATAATTATTCTAATTATCAGTGGTAAGAATCTCATCTCTAAAATAACAATCCTTTATGAAATTAAAGAGCTCATAGTTTATAAACGCTTTTGTTTATATACATCGTTGTTATCCAATTGTGTCTGTTAACCCTGAGTCTCCCAAAATTTACTCTGCTAAAGAACAGTGATTACTCAGAGTTACAAATAAGCAGGTTGTACCCTTGGGCTTTGAGAAGAGTCTATTTGCCAGGAACTCAGACTTGATCCTAGAGCTCACTTACCTGCTGTCTTCTTGAAGTCTTTAGTTTTTTAATAGGAATGTCAAACACAAATACAACCCAACTACCGAATTATTTCCCAGACCTGCTTTTTCTTCAGACTTCCCTAGATCAGTAAATTAAATCACCAACTACCCAATTTCACAAAGGCCTAGGAGTATCCTGATTTATTCATCTCTTTCTTTCACTCCTCTCATCGGATCTATCAAGTCTTGCCTCTACCTCCAAAACATCTCCTGTATCTTTTTTTCCATTTTTGTTCTTTAACTCCATCAGAGTACATGCCGTCATCCTCATTTGCCTTAGCCATTGCAGTAAAGTAACAGGGCTCCCAGTTTCCATCTTGTCCCTGTGTGGACTATTCTTTACTCGCCAACCAGAGTGATCAGATCACATTCCTGCTTAAACTTTCCAGTGACATCCCCCAGCACACAGAATAAAGCCCAAATTGCTGACCATGGCTGGTATCTGCCAGATCTTCTACTCACCCCCCTCTGGTCTACACTGTCCCAGCCACACCAGCCTTCATTCTGTGCCTCAGCAGGCCAAGCTCATTCTGTCTTAGCCCTCTGCAGTAGCTGTTCCTTTTCTTTTCTAGGCTGTCCTTCTGAATTTCGAATGGCTGGCCTTTTCCTAATATTAAGGCCTCAGTTCAGACATCACCAAAAGAGAAGCGCTTCCTGGTCAGCCAGTCCAGAGTAGCCATCAAGTTGTTCTGTTACATTATCACCTTATGGTAATTCTCAGCAGAGGGCTCTCTGCACACAAGCACAGAAATGCCTTATGAACAGAGGTTTGTTTATCTTGTCCTTTGTTGTGTCCTCAGGGCACAGAATAGTGGCTGGGTCCTTAGGAGGCTCACTAAGAATTTGTGCCTAAAGTAACTGTTAACGTTTCGTAGCCACATCTTGGGCATATCAACGTAGGGGTTCTGCATCGAAAGAAACTTGGTCTGCTGGAAGCATTGTCACAGTCCTGCCCGGGCTTTTGACAGATTTGGTAGATGATCCTTTTTTCTTTCTGGAAATACGTTAGAAGTCCTAGTCATACAACTATGTCTACTAACATTGTGTTCTAACCATATTTGGATTTAGTTTTATAAATTATATTTTGAAAGGAGACAACAGACTTTTGCTTTGTAAATGAGCTGATAATTCCTGCTGGTAACAGCTTTTGTCACCTATAATCAATGTGGTTATTCATTATGTTTGAGACTGCTAAAATGAGCATTGTACTTTTTTTATTGTAATATTATTTTATAGTATCTCCTTCAAATCATATTACTTTACCTATGCTGAGTTCCTTCTGGAAATGATGAAGTAGGGGAATACCTTGGATCTTTTAAACTTGAATAACTCCTGTTTTTGTTTTTTTCCTTTTCTCACATCAAAGTTAGGCCTTTACAGTTGAATTTCACCTATGACAGCCATGCATAGTAGATGTTGTAAAGCATTGCCTCTACTTATAAAATTCAGACTTAGAATATTTACAGTAGATGTTTATAACACACAACAGAGAATCAACTTCAGGGCATGTCGTTTTCAAAATCGTTTATTGAACTCTCATGCTTGGCCCTACTTTAGACACCGTATTGGAATTAAAGGGAGAAAATCTGTTTACATCACGATATTTATACATGGATGTGGTTGAATCAAAATGCAAGTAATATTATTTTAAGACAGATGTTCAAGGGCAAAAATCAAGGGCAGGATAAATTTTAAAAGGCACAAGGAAGGAAAGAGGAGAGAGAGAACTACATCATTAGTCATTGTTCTGTGCTTGAAGACTGTGTAACAAATAGACTCACAGATAACCTTCATGGTAGTTTAACAATTTCCATGATTCTTGCAAATAGTTAAACAACTGGTTCTTGACAACAATTGTGAAGTTTAAAGGTACAAATTTACACATCTTTCTCCAAGTAACATGTACAGTAGTTCTGCTGTAGTTTTGCTAAATGTCTATGAATCTCTTAAAAAATACCCGCAATCTTGAAGGCCTAAACATACTTCCATTTATTCCCCCCTCAGATTCAACAATAACACGTTATTTTGAGGCCCAAATCCTTTGACCTGTCTTATCTGATGTTCTTTAGTTGAACACTTTAGTGCATTGATAGAATTATACATTTTACTAAATAGATCACAAACAACTTGAAATATAGTTTCTGCATTTTCTTCAGCTTTCATAGAATTCTTTTTTCTCCCCAAAGCCCCCCGGTACATAGTTGTATATTCTTTGTTGTGGGTCCTTCTAGTTGTGGCATGTAGGACGCTGCCTCAGCGTGGTTTGATGAGCAGTGCCATGTCCGTGCCCAGGATTCGAACCAACGAAACACTGGGCTGCCTGCACTGGAGCGCGCGAACTTAACCACTCGGCCATGGGGCCAGCCCCCATAGAATTCTTAATCGAATTCTTAAATTGCTAATATTGCTTTTAAAAATTAGTTGATTAAGCTCTTCTTTGTCTCTTATTCCTGAGTTCCTTGTTAGTCTAGTTCATACTAGACCAGAGGTCAGGAAACTTTATTTGTGAAAGGCCAGATAGTAAATATTTTGGGCTTTGCTATCCAGTCACTGTCAAAACTACCCAACTCTACCCTTGTAGCATAAAAGCAATCATAGACAGTAAATGTTGTCCGTAACAAATGAGTGTGGCTGTGTTCCAATAAAACTTTATCTATGGACAAAGAAATTTGAATTTCATGTAATTTTTACATCTCACAAAATATTCTTCTTTTGATTTTTTTCTACTATTTGAAAATATAAACTCTATTCTTAATTTGCTGGCCATACAAAAACAGACAGTGGTCTGAATTTGGCCTGTGGACTGAAGTTTGCAGACCTTTGCCCCAGACTCATTGTCAGACCCCTGGTTGTCTGTCACGTATCCCCAAAAGCAGGAATTTGAAAGACACCTCAGAGAGAATTGTGTTTTACATCAATTACTTCATTACTCAGTCCATAATTATCAGTCATATATTAGATCAGTCACGTCCCTGTTAAAACAGATACTTTATTCCAAAAAGTTACTAGGTGATTAGTTCAGAAGTCATTGAAGCTAAGTAAAAGAAGGGCTGAGGAAAGACTCCAGCATAAAAGTATCAGCTTATTAAATTTTTTTGTTACAACTTGGATTAGTTTCATTCACTTGGATTTTTTTCTGCTTCCTTTAAAAATTTTGACTTAATAAAGTCACTCTGGAATTTTTAGGATAGCTTCTTGCATTTTCATTGTTCTTCAGAGGGGCCACATTTCTGCAGAAACAGCATTATGCTCAGGAGACAGGATTCTTTGTGTTTCAGTTGTGTTATAGGTCAAACACCATTTCATTGAATTCCAGATAGTGTTCCAAGTTTTGAGTTGTTTATGCATTTTTATTGTATTACATATTGCTTTAAAAGAAGCATGGTTTTTAGTTGGTAATTCTTTCATTAAAATAGACTTTGTTACTGTATAGACTTTTGTCTTAATGGGATTAGAACTATATTACCATTTAAAGATGGGTTTCTGCTGCTTGCCATGGAAGTGTTACTGTTAATTTCCTACTCTGTCTTTTAGTACTTTGTACAATATCTTGTACCTCTATTGTTGCTTGCTCTTGAACTTATAACATCTTGGTGTGAAAATGTACTTTAGGGAGTCTTCTGACATAGGAGAAAACAATTTTGAAATCTCCCAACATATAACATAGTTTGTGCTCTTCTTCAAGGTAAAACTATCCCAGGGTATTTTGTTCTCCTGGGAGTATTGGTGCTTGTTTTCCTTGTTCTCTGCTTCTTGTCAGTCTGTTTGGTTTCCACTATAGGCGGTCCAGTGTTTTTTCTTTCCATTCTCATGGTTATCAGTGTTGCGTGTCACCTGGCGTAACTGCTTTTCCTGACCCTGTCGTATACCATTGCCGTCTCTTAGTGCCCTTTCTCACTTGTGTTGTGACTGAATGGCCCTTCTCTCCCTCCTTCACTCATCCTCTGCTCACTTGACATTACCCGCTTATGTCAGGCACAGCACTGGGCACCCTGCCTGTTTTCCCACTGCACTGTCCACTTGCTACTGCCCTGCACATCCCTCTGAGCTCGCTCTCTTCTGTTATTTTTGTGTCAGAACTTCATCACCTTTTGTATTCCACTTCCTCCCACTGTTCTCCCACTACTTCCTGTTAACTTAGACTTTTCCACTTGAAGCTTTTAATTCACCCAACCTCCCCACCTTCTCCCTCTGCCAGTTGCCTTCTGGGACGGCTGCACATCATCCCTCTCTTTGGCCTGGTTAGATCAATACTGCCCAGGCTTCCAGCTCCTTCTCCTTGAAATTGGAGTGGGCCCGGGGGTATTTCTACAATGGCATCAGTGCATTGAAGCACGCTTGGCTGGATGGAAAATGGCAGTTCCTTTGCCATTAGGAAAGCTGGCTAAAGCACTGTCCTTAGCTGTAAAGATTTCTTCTAGGGTTGTGCCTCCAGTTCTAGGTATAGGATCCTAGAGAACATTGGGTCGTGCTCTTTGTAGGATTCTTTTTTTTCTGACTGAAGTTTTGTGAAATATAACTGTCTCCTGTGTCAAAAAGGCCTTATTTGTCTTAAAATATCATTGTGTTACTCTGTTCACACTGAATTACAGGCACACCTTTCTCTTGATTCAATGAGAGTGTTTTTAGTGTGATGAAAAGAATTACTTTCACTTACTGCTAGGGGGCGGTGTCCTGCCTTGTAGATGACTGGTTGAATTCAACGTTCTGTACTTGGACATACTCGTGGGTTATCAGAACTGGAAGAGATTTGAAGAATTATTCAGTTTTCCTGTTTTACATATGAGAAACTCAAGGCCTAGACTAAGTGAATTTCAAGCTCAGTGTCAAATGAGTGAAAAGCTAGGATTGGAATTTGAGTCTCCTGATCTCAAGCTTTTGTTGAATCAACTGATTTTTCTATAGCGTTCATTAAGGAAAGAGATATGATTAAAGAATGTCCTATGAGATGACAAATTGTTGTCTTTTTTTTTCCTAAGCACTCAGGTCAGGGTTCGTATCTCCCTGAAAGATTTCAATATTAGTGACTTTGGACTCTCAAATTTCCTAATTGCCATAGAAAGCAGCAGTACCAGTCTAAAATGGTTTGCCTTACAAGCCTAGCAATATAATTCCATGGCCTGGTCTATACACAAGGGACACCTTACTAGAAAAAGTGGTACAGAAGACTATGTGCTAGCAGTCAAGTGTGCGTACTGCACCAGTCATTATCCGGTAAGCCACACAAAGGATGTGTTCAGCTATTACTCTTTTCTTTGTTTCTTTCCTCCTTGTAACTGAGAATTACTACTTTTCTTCTTCTTCTGGTGATGAAGAAATCATAGTTTTAGACCTTTAAAATATGATTTTAATTGTCCTGCCAATTTGATGGAAATAATCTGACTTTCTTAAAGCAGATTAGAGATTCTCACTAGCACACCTTCTTAGCAAAATATGATTCAATAAAGTTCTGTAGAATGAAGGATTACTTCTGGGTTCACCAGAAAACTTTTGAACTGTTCTAATGAATTCAGTCCTATCGCAGGCTAATTATACATAGTCCAACTTTGGGTTGGATTACAGGTAGGATGAGGAATTGGGAAGATTTGGGGTGGGTGTCTGGACCTGTGTGTGTGTGTGTATACACATATGTAGGTAAAGTAATTGTAGATGCACTGCTCTTTCAGGATGGTTTTCACCAGGTCCAGCAACCTGTGAATGAAACATTTGTCACTTGCTGCTTCACCATTTCCTGGAGAAGTGACCTTCGTCTTTGGCCTTCCATACTGGTAATTTCAGCTTTCCAGATATTTCTCTAGGTGAATATATCCAGGCAGTGCATTGGCATGACTTACCTTTTCCCTCCCATGTGGAAGAAAGTGTTAGATGTGACAGTCCTTATGACTTGTAGCTTCCCACAGCCAGTGTGGTCAAGAGGCTTATCCATAGGCCCTGTGGGAGCTTTAGGGGAAAGCTTAGTGAAGCTCGTAGATTTTGGTTTAGGGAGCCGTGTTGAGATTCTCTGCTTGCATACCTCCTTGATCTTGAATGAAACAGAAGAACAAAAGGTAGTTAATGGTACAGTTGGTGGAGAAGCAGACATTGTTCAGGGCATAGAGTCAGCTTGGAGGATTTAGCTTCTTTGAAAGCTCTACGTTCTGGGGACACGTCAGATTAAAGATTGTCAGGTTGAAGAAAAAAACTTCAGTAAAGCAATTCTGCCAGCATGTGTTGAGCGTATGTTCTGTGCAAGGCCCTTGACAGCAGATAGTACTGGATACAGGGGTACATAGGTTATGTTTCTTGCTTTTTGGCAATCATGGTATAGCGGGAGATAAACAAGAGTAGTGTCACAAATTAATCTCAAAGGGTCATGAGATCGCCAGAGAAAGATTAGTTTCAACAAGAGGTCTAACAGAGCCTCATGGAGAAAGCAGCGTTTGACTTGGGGCTCCAGAGACTTTGAGGACTTTTAATAGCAGAAATGGGAGGGCATTCTGGAGTAAAGGAATACTTTTGGCAGTGTCCCCGAGGCAGGAAATGGGACACAGTTGAGAAATAGAGGAACTTCAAATTAGGTTGTATTTGAGAGGTGGAATGGCAGTGTAAACTGGGGCTAGATCAGGAAAATTGTACCTGATTCTGAAGACAGTGTGTGTGTGGCAGCGGGATAGTAAGGACATAGGTTGGGGAAGACACAGTGTGGAGACAGAATTGTGTTACTGTTTGTTCACTGTGAATGTGTGAGGAGTGAGAAAGGATTCACAGATAGGTTGAATGATCTGGACTAGGAGAGTAGGTTGTGCAGTGTGAAAGAGTGAAGGCTTCATTGAGTTCTTATTCGCTTAGAAATATACCATTTGCATTTATTAAGGAAAAATACTCTTGGGTAAGAATATTTGTTGATAAAGAGATGGGACAAATGCATCAGCTAACTGTAGCTCTCCCATTATAATCCACAGTTGGTGACGATGACGATTTTCCCCCTCTTTGGTTTCATTATCCTTTCCTTGCACTGAGTTCAAACATATAAATCTTTTAAAAATGCATTGTAGTTTTCATCATAGGTTTCTAATACTGTTCTTATGGGAACCCTTTTTATGTTTTTTTTCATTGTATAGAAATTTGTTTCCACATTTTTATTGTACTGACAAAGTACAGTGAAATACCTTTATCTCTTTATGTAAACATTCACTTATTTAAAATGCCTCCTAACTTTTGTAATAACCATATTTAGATTTTCAAGTAAACCCTACACAGACTTGGCTAAAAATATGAGTCCTTCAACTAAGGATAACCTTTGTGGGGAATATGCTGTCTTTTGGTACAATTTAGTCTATGCCTAGGTGCTAGAAGAGTTTTTGGGCCTTGGTGTTCTTAGTATTCTTTTTTTTGAGGAAGATGGGCCCTGAGCTAACATCTTTGCCAATCTTCCTCTTTTTTCCCTTCCCCAAAGCCTCCCAGTACATAGTTATATATCCTAGTTGTAGGTTCTTTTAGTTCCTCTGTGTGGGATGCTACCTCAGCATGGCTTGATGAGCGGTGCTAGGTCCACGCCCAGGATCCGAACTGGCAAACCTGAGGCCACAGAAGCAGAGCACGCAAACTTAACCACTTGGTCACGGAGCCGGCCCCCGCTAGGGCCTTAGTGTTCTGACATTTTTTTTTGTATTTAATCCTAAACATAGCAAATGAGATGTTGTTACTCTGATATCAGTTTCCTCCTTTTCTAAGAGCATTCCTACCTTTCAACCTGTCCTCATAGTCTCATCTTCAGTGCAGAAATGCTCACCCAATGCTTTTACCTCTTAAATAGGCAGAGCTTTTGTTGTTGTTTTTTTTTCAGTAATAAAACTCAGTGCCCAGTAAGGGTTTGGTGAGATGAGCAGCCTCAACGATGATTAGGAGAGTAGTTTGGTAGTGTGTATCAAGATCCCTAAAATTCACCCTGTGACTCATTTATCTTACTGCTAGGAATCTTTTCTAGGACATAATCAGAGATGCAGGCAAGGCTATTCATTTTAGGATTGTTTGTAATGATGAAAAATGGACACAGTTTAAGACTCTAACAATCAGAATGGAGTAAATGAATTCCCCTATAATTACATGAAAATATTATGCTGTCTTTAAATAATGATGCTTTTGAAAATATAGGAAATTGTTTATTCAGACATGTTAAGAGCAGCATTAAAAACTATATACATGCTTTAGGTATGTATATTTGAGGAGAAAATACACCAGTGCTAACAGTGGTTATCTCTGTTTAGTGGAGTTATAGGTGCTTTTTACTTTTCTTACATTTCCTATATTCTCTACATTTTCTGTTATAAGTATACATTTAGAAAAAGCAACACTAAGTTATGTTAAGGGATAAAAAGGAAGAAAGCACTTCAGAGATCAGGACATTTCTGTAAGCATCAACCATATTGTCCAAACCATGAGCAGTAGCAGCTGTATTTGAAATCAGTGATGGACTAATTCAAGTCAGCTGATCTTGTGACCATAGCATTAATAATAGCCTTTCAAAGATAGATTTCTGTGATGTCTTTTAACTTTCTCAAGATTTAGATTCGTTCTCCTAGTTAGTGCATAGAAATCTGTGTTGGGATCCTATTTAAATTGTAGACTCCTGGGCCTTACCCCTAGAAGTTGTAATTCATTTGTCTATGCGTGTGCCCAGGAATCCACATTTTTAATAAACTTGCAGGCTGATTCACCTGATGCAGGTGGTCAGCCTGCCACACTTTGAGAAACACAGCCATCAATGAACCTCCTTTAGGTCTAAGCTTTAAATTTTCTTTCACTTGGAACCCTGGCCTGCTTGGGTATGAGAGGCTCAACTCTGAAAGGTCAGGGCTTCAAGGCCCAGTGGTTTCCTAGATGTTCATCAGAACCACCCGTGGGGCTTTTAAAACACTGCAGATGCCCAGATCCTATTTCAGAACCTACTGACTTGGATTGTCTAGGGTAGAGTCCAGGCATGTGAATTTTTAGTGAGCACCACAGGTTATTCAGAACTGAAATCTGTCCAATAAACCAGTTGGTATGGAACACAGTATTACTGGGGCTTGTTTCTTTTAAGCTTTACTGATGATATGTATTGGTGAAGACAGTGTGGCTTGGGATGGTAGTTGTTGGTAGGGCCAGCTGCCCAGAAGTTATTGGGCTTCCATTGTTTCTACACAACTGATGCTGCAAGTTAATTTTTTTCTTGATAACTCTGATTTCACTACATAGTTTTAACCTCTAGATGGCAGCAAAGGCTAGTTAGTTTTTTGTCAGGACCCCCCCACCCCCACCCCCCTCCCCCATTCCATGTCATTCCCAAATCTTTAAAAAATGATGGTGTGTTTTTTTCTGGTATGAATTTTATTCTTGGACATGTTTCGGTAAATGAAGTATTGAGCTTTAAAATGTGTCATCTCTTGGATGATTTTTATAGAATGTTATGTCAAATAGCTCCAAGAAAGTTTTATCCAAATTTGGGGTGCATATTGCAAGAGGAATCCATGCATATGGCTCTTTTAAGACCACACAGTGAATATTCTACTCAGAGTTGGAGGCTCCTGGGTTTTATCAAAAAGCATATGCCTTGGAAGAGATTAAGCAAGTCTGAAAGCTCATTCATAAAAGAAAAGATTTTTTTAAAAAACGTTTAATTCAGTTCAACATGGAGATTTGGATTTGGAATGAATTACAAGTCTGAAGGATGCTGAGTTCAGTGAGGCAGAGGCATTGGTTTTATCTAGGGAGCAGTAGAAAGAAAGGGAGTATATTTGTGGAGCGTGTTCATCAAATTCTTAAAATCTTGGCTTATTTAGTCCATGGGTTATTAAAAGAAATGGAACAGTCTACAAGACTTCTTGGTTACAGCAAGTCATTAGATGGCAGGGAGCCTTAGTGACCACAAGAAGTACAGAAAGGTGAAAGTGTTTTCAGTGTTTTTCGAAGTCTTGAATCTGTAGCCTAAATTTTACTTGATCCTTGTGCTCTTTCACATTATCGTGGAGGGCAAACATCTGAAAATATACCAGAACAACATCAGCATTTATGGGGAGGCTATCACATCCTAGCTAGACAGCTGGAGTCAGGATATTTCCTTTTCTCTAAATGAAATTAATTTTGTAAGTGCTTTGAACTTTTTGCAGATTATTGGCAACATATTGTGTAAGAAAGCAGTGTTCCATCAGGAGTGTTCCTGACTCCAGGGACTGCAAGGCTCCTCCTTATACCTTTAGCTCTAGAAGTTGAAATACTCCCAAAGACCTTGGATCATTTTGATTTGTGGTCATTGGAGTGATGCAGGGAGGGTGCAGATTCAGAGCTGCCTGAACCCCTCAGGGACCCAGCTGTGGAATGCTTGGTCAAGGCCAGGTGTTAGCAGAATGACAGTGTTTTGTATTTTTGTTTTTATCTCTGTTTAATGGGAAAAGTGCATTAGTAATGATGACGGATATGCTGATGAAAAGGAGGAAATGCAAAACTGGAGAAAAAATATCTTTAAAATACTTTGCCTTCTTTTGTCTTTTGTATTGTTTGGTAAATCACTGCTAATTCGTAAAAAAAAAAAAGAAAGAACAGATAATGAATCTGGCAAATAGCCCAGAGTTTTATATGCTGCTTTGACTTTTTTCTCTTGATTTTCACAGAACTTCGTCATTATACAATAAAACTTTATCACTGAAGATTTTTCCGTTTTATATGACAAGAGGTCCTTCAGAAGGGAACTCTGTAGTTTGATTAGCTCATCCCCATTAACCTCTTGTGAGAGAACATTTGGTTTTAAATAGAGTTGCAGTGCTATGATTTATATTAAAGAGCTGACCAGTTTCCGAGGTAAAGGTAAGAGGAAATTCATGTCTTTATTTTATAATGTAATATGGTTTGTGGTTGTACCTACTCACCTCCCAATCTCTCTGTGGTAATTACACCATGGACAGTGAGGGTAATCCAAAAATAAGCATTGAAATATAGTTTTCAAAAATCCTTCCTAACCCAGTTGCTTCCACTTTGTGTCCAGACACTCAGCCTCACATGTAGACTAGTACATTACAATAAAATATACTAACCTTGAACTGTTGTCTTCCTTCTTTTTATCCATCTGTCAGGTTTTTCACCTTAGCTTTTCTTTTTCTTTCTTTCTTTTTTTTTTCCACCCTCTCCCTTTTTTTCTTTCTCATTCCTTCATTTGCACCCATTTGATTTTTTTTAATTGTTCACAGGGTTACGTTTTACGGCAGCCTTGGGTTGGTGACTAGAGCACAGGCTGTGGAGCCA